ATACATATATACACATATATATGTATATATATATATATATATATATATATATATATATTAAATAGCAAATTACTGGAAAACAGTATTATATTATATTAATTGTGTATATAACATACGGTAGTAATGCGTATTTTTCGAAAGGTCAAAAGTCAACAGTGAATTATTTCACATTTTAGGTGTTCGGGTCTCGTGTCCTGGTTTCTTCTTGTTCTTTACTGTTTTTGGTTTTGTAAATTTTAAATTGGAGAAACATAGGCATACACAAAACATGCAAGGCCGGTACTGGAATCCAATAACTGAGTCTATAAAGAATTATAGCTCAAGGCTGTAAGGTGAGTAATAAAGAAATGTCGGCAAAAAAAAGGGAAATACAAAATATCGACGTGAAATAGTCTGGGAAGGTGGATAAATCTATAGAGACAACAGATAAAGTGGGTGATAATTGGCGGGAAGACTACCCTGGAACTGCTTAGAGCATTCCAGATAGAACTACTCTCTTGTGGCGAAAGAAGAGAACATATATGTGTGTAATGTATTAACATCCCGATAGGATTACCAGAGGTACACATCTAAATTAGGATGATGCATATTAAATGTGAACCAGTCGTGAAATATGACAACATACTATGTAGCAACTACTTGTGAGGTATGACAAGATAGAGAGTTTAATGTTAACAAGCACGGCATGATGTAAGCCAAACCAAATAACAACATACTGTGAAAAACTGCATGTGAATTACTGTATAAAGGAATGGAAAGTTTATTATGAACAAGGACAGAAAGATGAAAAATTCGTCAACCAAACAATATTATGCTAAACAGTGAAATTGTGAATTATAAACTCAGTTCATGAAATCAGGTTAAATTGCATCTTTATTCCCTTCATAACGTTAATAGATGGATCCCTTTCCTGCTACTCTAAATCCCTAGAGTGACAGATGTTGCATTCAAATATAACTCATAAATAAATCAGGTACAATTATCAATCTTACAGTAAAATTAGATACAACATTGTTGTATTATAATCTATACTCTCATTTCGTTTTATTTAGTTCATTAACTATTAATCCAGATAATTCCTTCAGAGAGTGTTCATTTTTATTTAATCCACCACTGCATTTTGAAATGGTCACTACGTCCAAATTCATTTATTGAGCGTAAAACGTTATGCTCAAATTGCTACATATTAACCGCTTATGCAGTTTAATTACATTTGCACTCTCCATTACGTACCTAATCATTCATTGCGTTCAAAATGTCCACTGGGTTTCAAATCATCTGTTACGTATTGATGTGTCGATACGGTTTTGAATCGTTTATTATATTTTTATGTTTTTGTTGTGTTCTAACCGTTCATGATATATCAAAACATTTATCGTGTTTTGGAACATATATTATATTTCTTCAGATTCTGTTCAACACATCTTTAATTTTATGAACACACCAGTGGAAATACAGGGGTACAGTGACAAAAGAGGTATTCCCCCTCTCCAGCAATAGAAAAAATCTTTTAATCAAACGGGAAACCATTTAGATAAGAGATGGCTAAAACTTGGAAACTTTCAAAAGTTATGCACCCTCAAGGCCACACTAGTGGGGAGGACATTCTTTTTGATTATTCCTCTTGACCACTGGTCCTCGAATGGAGCTTCTCGCCCATCCCTCTTGCTCGCATGCAGAACCATCCTAGATCTGCCCCTGACATTCATCATCTTCAGATGATTGATCAAGTTACGGTGAAAGTAGTTTTGATATTCATGGCTCCCAACTCAGCGACCAGATACTGAAACACATAAGGTACAGCAATAATGTCTATATCTTTGTTTGATTGACAGCTGCTACAAACCCATTTTCGATTTGATATCACATCAGCTTCCCCCTTCATCTTTTCCAGGCTAACCCCCAAAATGGATCCACATTTACTACAAACTCGTGCCTGAAAAGAAGAAATTAAAATCAGTTCATTTCTATACACCAAAACAATGCTAAAAATTGACAGAAATTGTACTAAATTTTACCAGGGATACCCGTTATAATATTTTCTTACCCAGATATGTTACGATCACACAACTAAATACAGAACTTGCTAAGAGTTGATATAATCAATATGATGAGGTTTGTTCTTTACCGAGATATCCTTGGAGTTCATACTGAAGGACTGTACTGTACATTCTGTTCCATCATTATCGTACTGTATTGTACATTCTCATGAACAAAATATCCTTGCTAGGCAAAAATATCTGTGTTTAAATTTGTTAATATATAGTACATTTCCTAAATTATATCATTTATTACAGAAGCATTTGACAGCAGTTTATGCTGGCTTCATCAGGTGTTTCAGTAGACTGCATCTGATTAAGCCAGTATGGACTGATGGTGAAAGCTTGTGATACATATTACTTAAGTTTTTAAAAACTACTTTTAAGTTTATGTAATTATATATTGATATTATGGAGGCAAGGCCTAGGTGTACATCTGCCATCTTCAGTGTAGTAATTGCTCTCATGCAATCTTTATAAATGAAGTGAAAACTGCGACACATTGTATTGTAAATAAAGAGAAATTGAACCATAGCTATTTAAAAAACATGACATTGCACTTTAGAGAATCAATTGAACTGTAACTGTAGAGGAGAAAGGATGGCATGAATAAAGATGATGAATCGAAATAATGAACATCAGAATGACGAAGTTAAATTGGCAGGTTTGATTTATTCAGTGTAAACACCAAGGATAGCCCATGAAAGTCTAGAAGAAGACTTATTTCCAGTGGGGTCCTTCTGGTGGTGATTGGGCAGTACACCGGGAGACAATCCCCTACTCTTTTCCGAAGAGTGTACATAATGTAAATGCACACGGGACTAACGGCTTAAACATCTCATCCGAAAGACGGTGTGCTATTGTAACTTGTATTTCAGCCCTCCAGCTGAAACACAAGGAGAGGCAGAAATGGGAATTGAACTGGGGACCTAGAGATCTCCACGGTTCAGCCCACACACAGTGGCTACCACCAGAATACCTGACTTGAGCTAAGCTTCTCTCCTTTTCAACATGTAAAATTTGCTTGTTACTTGTCACAGATAAATGACATAAGCTTGCTTACAATGGTTTTATCTGAGCAACCAAGAAGACGATCCTGCAGCAGGTATGATGTTCCATGAGCCAATAAAGAGTCCCGTTCCATTTCTCCGAATCGGATTCCACCACCACGTTTGCGGCCTTTGATTGGTTGATGTGTGACGGTATCGATAGGACCAGTTGAGCGTACCTTAAGAAATAGGAAAGAAATTTCTTTAAAGAGTATGACCTAACCTTATTTTTAATGGTAAACGTCCAACACAAGGAAACTTTACATTCACAAAGAACTAATGTAGGCAACACATGTAGAGCAGGCCAAACAAAAAGAACTCCGGTTTGAAAATGCTTTCTACACACAAATATTAGTACTATGAATAAAGAAATAATAAAATTTGTATTTTAAATCATGTACATAACACCCTATATATATTGTTGAAGATTTCTTATAGATGTCATAAAGATGAGTTGAAGTGCTAATCCCTCCATGAATAAATATAGCACAAGATTCTTTAAATAAATTACTTAAAATACCAATTACTATAACATGCAATATAAAAAACAATGATTACACAATATATTTACGTGAGTTGCAAGTTATGAATAATGCAATGAAATATAACTTGCGATGTGTTATGAATATACAAGGTACATATGCTATATACATTTATCTTCTGAAGACAAGTAAATAATGGTAGATCTCGTTAAATGAGATTTTAACACATCTAATTTCAATTTCCTGCTGCATGGTGATACCCCAGCTGACTTTCGGAAGACAATTGAAAATACAGTCGTAAACAACATGCAAATATCATTAATGTTCGGGAGATAGATTTGTTTTCAATTTTGTGCTTGATCGAGGCAATGCAGGAGGCCGTCATAATTTCAGGGAGACTCCCACAACTAGTGGGAGAGTTGGACCCCCCTGGAATTTAATGTACAAATACCCACCTGAAACTTATCTGCTACCATATGCCGAAGTCGTTGATAGTACACAATGCCTATAAAAATATCTGCTTCAAGTTCTACACCGCTTGCTCCACTGTACATACGTTCAGTTCCATAGTAATTATAGCCAGCTGATGGGAAAAAATATAATACTATTATTTATATTTCGAAATGAATTTGCATCAGGAAAATATCATAGGAGTGATGATTGCCCAACCTGACCAAATACTCTGTACTTCCCCAAATACTTACAAAAAAATTTGCAAGTGATTCGGGTGGGAATCACTTGCAAATCACGACCTCCAAATAACTAGCCAGGCGCCTTTTGAAACTTTTTTTTTGCAAGTATTTGGGGACATACTGAGTATTGGGCTACGTACAAAAACCTTAGATAGTGCAAAACATCACTCCTATAATACTATTTATGTTACAGTATTTTAAATCACTTAACAGAGGTAAAGACCGCCAAAATATAATAGGGTGGCAAAATATTCTTTTGAAACTTTATGTTAATGTTGCACAGATTAAGCATCCCTCATCACAGGTGTAATTAATTTGAATATTTAATAAATATGATTTGGTCAATTCCAGTTATGGTTCTTGGGGGGGGGGGGGGAATAAACTGTCTGACAGTGTATGCAAGGTTCTCACAGAGACCATTGGGTTATGGTGGCAAAGCCTAGGAGTGCAGTAGACAGTGGCGATTTCAGCCAACTAACCTAACTAACCTATGTACAATTTAACTGAATTTAAAGGAATTACTGGATTAACAGTTTTTGAGCTTGAAAAACAAAACGAAAAAAATTAAAAAATTAGAATATTTTAGATAAGATAAGTACATGATTAATTGTTTTAATATGATATCCATTTGTTGTTTCTAATAATATATATTGAAACCAACAGGAGGCTTACTCAATTTACTTTGAAATTAATTTTAGATTACGGATCTAGAGAACACTAAATAGGTGCTTTGAGGCGAGTTATAGTAGTATTTCTAATTTAGCTCCTGTTTGTAATGGGGTTTAGACAGACAGATATCTTTACATATATAGATTTAAATTTGGTTGTGAAATAAACAAAATCAAGATAAATTGTTGTTCTGCCGTTGGCATGGTGATAATGTCTTTGTTTGCACGTGACTTTTTAGGATATAGTTGGAATTTGTACATGCTGAATAGAATTTTGCAATTTAATCATCAGTAAAGCATGAAAATGGATCACACAGCTAAAAAGAAAAAGGTCAACCCAACTCGTGTTACGTCTTATGTTAATGGTACTCTTCATCTAGTGTGGGTGGCTTGTATTAGTGCACCAATGAAACATAAACATAGATAATACTTATCGTTGTAGCAATCATGGACTATACGAAATTAACTTAAATCATAAAATCAATTTTTAATGCAACTTCCGACTCAATTGTAAGATTTAGGTTTAAATAACATTGATAAATAAGCCACTAACAGTAATGTTAGTCATGTATGACCTTATTCCTCTAGATTTTAGTTATTTATAATATACCGTTAGGACTAGATGATGGTGTTGAAATAAATCTAAGCATGGCACGTAGTTAATATTGTAAAAAGATTCCAACACTCCTGACATTAACTGGAAAACCTATATGTTAACAGATTACAATATAATGAAAAGATTGCAATAGACAGATATCTTTACATATATAGATTTAAATTTGGTTGTGAAATAAACAAAATCAAGATAAATTGTTGTTCTGCCGTTGGCATGGTGATAATGTCTTTGTTTGCATGTGACTTTTTAGGATATAGTTGAAATTTGTACATGCTGAATAGAATTTTGCAATTTAATCATCAGTAAAGTATGAAAATGGATCACACAGCTAAAAAGAAAAAGGTCAACCCAACTCGTGTTACGTCTTATGTTAATGGTAATCTTCATCTAGTGTGGGTGGCTTGTATTAGTGCACCAATGAAACATAAACATAGATAATACTTATCGTTGTAGCAATCATGGACTATACGAAATTAACTTAAATCATAAAATCAATTTTTAATGCAACTTCCGACTCAATTGTAAGATTTAGGTTTAAATAACATTGATAAATAAGCCACTAACAGTAATGTTAGTCATGTATGACCTTATTCCTCTAGATTTTAGTTATTTATAATATACCGTTAGGACTAGATGATGGTGTTGAAATAAATCTAAGCATGGCACGTAGTTAATATTGTAAAAAGATTCCAACACTCCTGACATTAACTGGAAAACCTATATGTTAACAGATTAAAATATAATGAAAAGATTGCAATACTCCTGACATTAATGGGAAAACCTATATATCAACAGATTATAAAGAAAAGATTCCAATACTTCTGACAGTAACTGGACTATATGTCAACAGATTATGAAGCAATAATGTATTATATACAGGTAAACCACTGATTACTAGATGTTAAAAATGCTCTTGGAAAATTATCATCGATCTTGTATTAACACATTTTCAGATCAGGTTAGAAAAATTAATGTTGTGGAGAGACACATAAGGCAAGTAAGGCTCTTCTGTTTCTACTGTAAATGGACTTGGAATGCTACATCCCTCTATTCACACATTCAACCAAAACAGAGTATACCCTCCATTCACATATTCAACCAAAACAGAGTACATATACTGTAGTCAACACCAAAACAGAAATATATTAGAATAAAACATAACATAACACAGACAAATACAAATACAGGTATTCCTGAAATTAAAGACCACTTTTGGGACCTGGGTTATCATGACTTTTAGCAGCTTTGGTATCTAATTATAATAGAATAGAAAAGGTAAAAGAAAACTGTTCATTGACCACAGAAAAAGTGGTCCTTAATTGGAGGTGGTCTTAATTGGAAGGATATTTAAACAGACAGAGACCTGTATATTTTCTTTCCTTAACCATAGATTAAGATGTTTTACCTTAGCTAAATAAATTAATAATAAAATATAAACAAATAAGTTAGTAAATTCTAACTGTTATTTATGTTAACAAATCATGCTTTTTATTTATTTTTTTTGATTTCCACCATAATATGTGACCCAAGCTCAGGCCAAAATGAGTTTTTGTTATAATGGCACAGAACTTATCATTTACTTTAAAATGACAGTTAAATGAACTTAATCGGGTGTCTGGAAGCAAAGTTATGACCATTCGAATAATTGTCATCTTATCAACTTTCTTAAATCAAGTTTTGAGAAAAATGCTTTTATTTTCAGCAGGTTTCGATTCATTTTTCAATAGCTCCCATCCGAAGTTGGAATTTTAAACTCAAACTTCAGGAATAGTAAAATTAATAATTATACTTTATTTATTACACAAAAACCCAATTCACACAAAATTCACATTCTACACCTTATTCTGGGTATTGAGGCTTGTTTCTCAATACAGTGCAGTGCGAGTTTACAGCCCGTTTGTGAGCTTGGGTCACATATATTTATTTGATTTTAGATGCAAATTGATAATGTCAGTTGAAATTTACTTTTTAGCTTGGGGCGGGGTAATTGCTTGCTGGAAATGTTCCGATAGCTTGTACACAAGGTCAGCTGATGGGCGAGGGACTGCCATAAGCCAGGATTAAACTTGTTGATTTAATGAGCCCTTAGACCTGTCAAGAACACTTACTTAAGCACTATCATTTAAGTCCTATGTATCAATTAATCTAGATAAGGGCCAATCATGATGAGTGAAATTAATAGACGCATGAATGTTATTTATTCAGTTGTTGCATGAACATTTTAAATCTGAAATAAAGCACTAAATGTAGGAATGAATGAATTCCGACTGATAAAACAGTAAAAAGTGAAAATATGACTTTTTAAAACACTATAAAAAAAATTAAAATTCTCCAATCGTTCTTTCCAAAGATAATACAATATATCAAGATTATCATAATATATTTGACTCAAACATAATGGCATACAGATGTAATAAAGAGACACTCAAATACGGTAAACACAATTACTCAACCCAGAATCAGGGAAGAAAGAGAACTTTTGAACACAGCTTTTAGATAATTAATTGTACTGAGAATTCATGCTTCAACATACCTGCAGTAAGCATTCTGCCAAAGTAATCAATGGCGGGTGTGTCTTCTGAGAATGTAAATGGGGTTGCATCATGGCACATTCCGTGTAGACATCCAGACTTGCCTGCCATACTCTCGATCATCATACCTAAAAATTCAAATGAAAAAATGATTGACTAGACCGTCTGATTTGATTATGGAGGAATGGTCAATGGTGTAGAGTGCTGTCAGACTATATCAAACATAGGATAGGATAGGAGTAGGTTTGTTGTGAATCAGTCCAAGGATAAGCCACTAAGTCCGAAGAATTGTTTCCAGTGGGGTCCTTCTGGTGGTGACTGGCCAGTAGACTGGGAGAAAATCCCCTACACTTTTATGAAGAGTGTACTGCAATCTTTGACATGCATATGGGTCATATTGCACACAAGACCAACAGCTTAAACATCTCATCTGCCAGAAGACATAGAAAGCTATGCAATTTGTTGGATCAGATATGTCTAAACAAACATAAACTATCAAACAAAATCTGATCAAACATATTTTAAGTTAAAGAGTCAAAAACTTGATAAGTATAACCAGTTCCTACTTTATATTTCTATCAACTTACCTATTGTCATACGAGATGGGAATCCATGTGGATTGAAGATGATGTCCGGAGTCATTCCACTTTCTGTAAAGGGCATGTTTTCTTGTGGCCATTTCTGACTGCACACACCTTTTTGTCCATGACGACTTGAAAATTTATCACCTATAATGGGATTTCTCTGAAATGAAACAGAAAACATCAGAAAAATTCAAATATTTACTAATTATGAAAAAAAATATTTATATTTTTTTTAATTAATCACAAAAATTATTTAAATGTCTGATAATCTGCAATAAAAATGTTCTTGTTCCTATTTTTAGTTGAAAGTTAATAACTTATTGAAATATACCAATAAAGCAATTCAATTTTTGAGTTTATATTTGATTTATGTGGCATTATATAATCAATTACGGTGATCCATCGTGCAAAGCTCACGTGCAAGGATTTTTCATAAATATTAAAAATGACACCATTAGAATATAAATTAAAGTTGATACAATTAAAACACACTGTACAGTATGTCTGAATAATTTCCTACCAATTTCTTTTTTTTTTTAAGTCTAATTCTGCCCCAATATCAAATTGTCTGTGACAAATATCTGAGGTTTGCCAATGTAGGCCTACAGTAGGACTGATAATGTCATATATGATGATGTCATATTACATACATACATGGGCAAATCATCAGGTATTTGTCAAAGACTTCACCACATCACTGTAAGTCTTTCATTCCCCAGGCTAACTTTTTCTTAAATTTATTATTAATTTATCACTGCACAGAGAACAAAAGTACAAGGAAAACAAGACATAAAAAGCAGTGAAAAGGAAGTGATGAACAGGTGCCAAGCACCTCTATCTACATCCAGAGATGTGGAAAATTGCACATACATTGTGTGTGCTGTGCTTGTGTCCTTGTGCAAGGCACTTTATCTACATTGCTTCAGTCTACCTGCTATATCAATGGGTACTAGAAAAACTGTGCATTTTTTTACTGTCACCAGTTCCTGTTAAAATGTCCAATAAAAAACAGCTTTAAAGCTGGTTGACATGACCTCCAAACATACCATACCATACCTCAATTCTTAATGTAATGAATACCCTTTGACATTCCATGTTTCCCAGGTCATTACCGGCCTTTTTAACTTTGTCTACCATGACAGTTTCCAGGCCCTTGTACCGTTCCACATGGTACGTTGCTGTTTCAAGGTTGAGATAACTGCAAACAGAAGTGGAAATACCAATATTATTACTAAATGTCTGCAAGAATATACTTACTGGATAGCATACCACACTGTTGGAAAAAAACTCACATTTCATCTAAAAATACAATCCTTGAGTTTATGTTTGAAGGCCTATGTGTTTCCAGAAATGTAAATATTATGATTTTAATTAAGTTACAATAAATGGGAGCCTTGTAGCACATCACTAAATTAGACTGAGGAATGCGAAATAAATCTTGTAGTTTGGTTGGCCTCTGGACTAAATTCTGGCTGCTTTGCGACAGACGTAATCAGGAGCAACATTGATTAAATAATTAAAGATTAATTATGAAATGCCATATTTTACATATTGTTTATTTCAATAATGCATCAAAGTCACACTGATTATATTTAAGGGATATTAAAAATAATAATTATTATAAAAAGGTTGCATTAATTATACAAAGCCATATTTCACAAATTGGTTATTCCAATAATGCATCAAAGTTGCAGTGATTATTATTAAGAGATATTAAAAATAATAATGAATAATAAAAGGTTGCATGTTACAAATTGCATATTTTGAAAATGCATCAGAGTCAAATTGACGAAAATATTAAAGGATATTACAAATAATAATAAATTATAAAAAGGTTGCATGTCACAAATTGGTTATTTTATGCGATAAGGTACGTTTAAAGCCCCATTCCCGGCAAAATTTCAATTTTTAAGAAAAATCTAATTTTTGTATAATGTTATAAAGATTTATAAATATAATACGGAATTGCTAGTTTAACTGAATTTAGACATTCCTAAGAATGAAAACGTCAGTATTATATCTGTCTCTTATACACATCTTTCCACACAAAAAATAAATGCGGATGAATTTTTCATGTTGATTTTGCGATAGGTCGTGAGAAGAAATATCGTAGGCGCCGAAAACATTAGCCTATCCAACGCTGCTGGCTAGGCCTAACCTTACCTCGATTTTAGGTTCTGTCATCACACATAAAAACGGCCGACATGATATTTTCCGTCTGTAATAGTCTGTATTTCTCATTTTTTTTATTCTTTTGCGTAAAACTAAAATTCATGCCAATATTTTTCCATGATTTATAATAATTGGAGTAATGCAAATGCATATTTTCTAAAAAATGTCATTTTTAGTGAAATTTTGCCGGGAATGGGGCTTTAAGTAGAAACAGTTTGAAATACCGACTTCGCTGAAGCAAAACTCTGTTAGAATTGTGAATGCGCATGTGCATGAACCGACGCATTTTTCTCGCTTGAATAAATTAGCAAGTGGAAAATAGGCTTTATAAAAATTGTAACATTATTGCAAATTTTAGTTGTTAGTTGTTAATAATTTGTCAGAAATACAGTTAAAATATCAAACTTGACAATTTTTGACCTGACAAGTTAAATATTGATATAAATATTAACTTGGGAGTTTGCCACTTCATACTATGTAAAAATCTCTTATATGTCCATGACAAGTCAAATATTGTAATACATTATATATTTCAATATTTATCTATTTAATGTTATAATGCTATTCTTATATAGTGCAAATTGTCAATCCCTCACCAGTACATTGGATCTCCTGATTGAATCACTGTACCTACTGCAGGTAAACCATCACGGTCAAGTTTACCAGATACACGTCTGTCATTTTCATCAGTGCCTACACATACATGACAAGACAAATGAAACATGAACTATATTATGTTATATATATTTTGTTATAGCTTAATAAATTTGTGTTCCGCAAGTCAACTTTCAATGATTGTACACCGTTTTTTCATTGCTTTTGCATTATATATATATATATATATATATATATATATATATATAATACTAATAATAAGGAACATGTAATTTCACTCTACAGGCTGTTTCATGCACTAGGCAATCTTCAGGAGCGAAGGGAATTTCAAATTTTGACGTGTATATGTAGAGTTGGGCCGGTGTAGATGCAAATTAGTTATTATGTGTTTTTGAGTAGGAATTTGGCACGGTGTCTGCATTTTGAAAGGAGTTTGTGCCTTTTGTTCAAAGTAGATTGTTTGTCTGCATAAATTATATGATACT